CACATACACACACACACACACACAGAGAGAGAGAGAGAGAGAGAGAGAGAGAGAGAGAGAGAGAGAGAGAGAGGGAGAGAGAGAGAGAGAGACTCGCAGGCAAACAAATCAAATCACTGATTCGATTTGTTTGCCCTTTAACAATAAACTCAACCTGTGATTGTAGCTTCATTAATTTACTGTTTTGATTTGTGACTTTCATCAGGGTCAATACTAAATGCTCATTGGTCAAAGAAAATCAGCCTTATATTTGTTTTATGATGACATCAATAAGGATACATCCAATCAGCTTTATTTAAAAATACAGCCGATTTTTATATATGATAAAGTTTTGACCTCGTTAGATTTTCTTTCTGGCTTTGTGTACTTCAATTGTCTACAAATGTTTAGACTTATTCTGTTTTATTACAGATTTTATTTTATCGTCATTTCACTTGATAAAACTCATTGTGTCTTGACCGTTGAAAGGCAGACTTCCTTCACAGCCGTCTGTTTTTAAAAGGTTGGTCAAACATGTCCTCCAGGCAGAAACAGGCTGACTTTAGGGCACAGAGGGTCAAAGGGTCAAGTCATGTGGGAACACTGGTCCTCCCTCATCAGCGTTTTTTATTTTTTATTTTTCCCTTCCAGCCATCACTCCTGCTGCCTGATTAGATATCCTACCTGTAGCGGAAACGACTGCCCTTGAAGAACAAGTTGCTGCTGGAGACTGTGCGAACTTGACTTGACTTCTCGAGCCTGATGTAAAAAAAAAACACATTTAAATCTACAAAAATTATTTAAAAAAAACAACAACAATTATATGATCAGATTTACTTCCAAGCAATCTTAGKAAACACAAAATGGATAACTCAGTTTTACAGCTATTGAGCTAAAAACACAAATATACTAACAGATCTTTGTTTAAAATTTTGGCATGCAAAGCAGGCGATATGCATTCCATCAAACAATGATAGTTTCACTACTTTCTGGATTTAAAACCAAAGTTGAAGCTAGAATAAAAAACTCCAGATTACATTATGGGGGTCATTTTATGCATTGAACTAAGCTTCATACTGTATGTTTATGCAAAGTCTACAGGACATCAATGTTTAATGTTTCATCTTTTTCTTTCTCTTTTGTCCTTTTAGCCACCATCACCTGAGCTGATCCTCTCAGCCACTGAGTTCAGACTCTGTGTTTTTGTTAATCAACCCCCCTGAGCAGAAAATCTGACAGCTCTGAATAAACTATAACTCAAAGCTAATTAAGGAGGGAGCCATATCGCAGAAGTACTAGAATCTCATGAGCTACACACACCTCGTTTTCATGCTGACAAACAACCCAAAGAGTTTTTACAGCAGGAGAGAGTGTAGCTATGATGGAAGAGGGAAAGAATAAAACAAACTAGAGCAACTATATTTCCTGTAAAAAAAAAACTTTTAAAAAAGTGTTAATGCTGAAATTAGCTGAAGATAGTGCAATTACTAAAAGTTAAAAATCCATACCATCCTGAACACGCCACAGTGACCATAATATGTCACAGTTTGCCTTCTAAAAAAGGATGCCAAAAAAAGGGCAGAACAAAGGCTAACATATAAAAATAGCAAAACACTGGCTTAAAACAGAAAAAGGTTAGATAAAAACCAGAAATAGCAAAAACCTMCCTAGAAGGAAAAAGTTGCAAAAAGCTAGTTGAAACCTAAAAATTATGAAAGGTAATAAAACACCCTAAAAGAAATCAAAGACCTGCCAAAAAACTAAAATTAGCAAGAAGTTATAATAGTTAAAAGTGGCCAAAATATTAGCTAAAAGCCTATGTAGCATAAAGCTAGCTACAAATAACATAATAATAAGGTAGAGGTTTCAAAATGATAGTCAAAAGCTAAAAATGATTAATAAAAGACTACGGTAGCTAAAAAAAGCTAAATGCTACCCAAAAACCTAAAAGTAGTGATATGGTTAAATAATAAAAGTAGTAGAATGGTAGTTAAAAACTAAAAGGAGCACAAGAAAACAAAGACCAAATGTGCTGAAGCAGATTTTAAAGTGGACAGTGTATTTCATGACATTTAGGAGATTTCAGCATGTCTCTACAGGGAAAACATTTGTAAGTAAAATTTCTTGAACAACATGAAAAAGTAAAACACAAACTAACACAGCAGCCAACTCCTAAGTGAGCTGAATGTTCTGATTTATGCATGGCTAAAAATAACAAAACATACAGAAAAAAATAAGGTTGCAAAAAGGATAGTGAAAAAACAAACTGGAAATAATAACAAAAGTGCTGAATCAGCATTTATACACTAAAATGACTCACTTGTAAAAGGCTTGATTCTCTACACCGCACTTCCAAAGGTGTTTGCACGCCTCTGGTGTGGGCGCAAAATACGTCAAGATGATCTTTTTGTCCTGGAAATACAAGGATGATGTAACAAACAGACAGAAAAAGAAAAGTCTTGCTCCGCAAACAAGATAGGTCTTTTTTTTCTTCTTCTCACACACTCACCTCCTTCTGATTTGCATATACGTGGAAAGTCTTGCCTTCAAACTTGAGTTTGGTCACCTCGTTCCTGTCGGGGAGAAAGCGTGGCAGCAGTTTACGGCGAGCCGTAACAGAAAGCCACAGCCTCTTTAAATATTCATGACAACAACTTTGACATCCCATGAACAGTCATGGTGCTCCATGGTTGGCTGGAAAAACAAATTAGTGATAATAGTCCCTGAGGGGGGAATGCGGGATGAAAGAAACCTCGGTGAAGCTGAAGCAAACAAAGCGATTATAAATAGGTTGTAATACATATGATACTGCTGCTTTCATCACACGGATCCTCTCAGTTATTGTACAAATAAACACACCTATACTGAGTAATAAATAAACTTTATTAATCATCTATGTTGGCACTGTTAGCATCATTTCTTGCTTTAAAGTCGTTCAGTGGATTTAATTGTCGTAATCAGCCATCTGTGTATAAACGAGCAGCCAGATCCGGACAAAGGTAGAGACAGATGGAGGACGATTTTTAACTATCACTGTAAAACCAGCTGCACCAAGCAATTTTATATTTGTAGAGAAGACAGAAAAGACACTTCGCTCACCATTTGAGAAAATGAACTCTCCTGTTTCCCTGAAGAACCACAAAACCAAACGGAGTGAAGGCAAGGAAAGCAGGGTTCCCGGACACATCCTGACATTCAGAGATGAACAAAAGACACAAGTTTCAGCACAGCTGCTTCGTATGGGAGTATATAAACTTTCTAATAAGCAAAGACATATCTGAAATGTCTAAAAGCAGCTCAAACACCACTTAACCTTGCAYGGATGAGGATCAACACCATATGTCTCCAACATCTGGGCTTTCTGCAGGAAGTTTCGCTCTGATGTTTCAGGCGTCTGCCCACTAAGGAAAAACAAATCCAGGTGTTGGTTTATAACAAGCATAAAAACAGAACATGTAACAGATGTACAAATACATTTATTTTCATTAGTATGAWTTCAATTTCAAAATGTGAGAGAGGCCAAAATTTATTATGCAGACAGATGGAACCAAAAATAAATATATTTTAGTTTTTTGTATTTTATCTAATTTATTGAATTGTCTGCTAATTTGATGTAGAGAAATAAATTAACCACAAGGGGGTAGCAGAGAGTCATGCTATTCCCCCACCACAACTGGGACTAAATTTTTTATTTAAGTCAGCATTTGAACTGTGCATTTGAAATAAAACTAGAAGGAAGGCCTTGCATTTATTGAAGGGAAGCACATGTCAGAGTTTTAATATTGATTTGATAAGTTATTTTTATGTCAGAAATTCAGCTGCCAGGAAACAGATAGAAAGGAGATGCAGAACATGGGTGCAGTTAGAGGACATGAAGGTAGTTGGAGTGAGGACGGAGGACGCAGAGGACAGGGTGAGACGGAGGTGGACGACTCATTGTGGCGACCCCTGAGCTGAAAAAATAAATCTGACAAGTGTCTGTTTTTTTTTCTCTTACATCAGCTCTGTTTTGTGTATTTCTGCGATCCGACGCTCCAGCTTCTCCGAATGTTTGGGAAAGAACTGGAACTTGGAGCTGTAACCCTCCGGATGCTTYCCGGGGTCATAATCACCAATCTCAGCTAGAGGGGAAAAAAAATAAAGCATGAAAAAAATAAATAATAATAAAAAAAGTTAGCTGCTAAGCATATTCACACACAAGAGGGGACCAACTAAAGACAAACAGTATTATCTGTGCTCCTTCATGCCACATTGCAGTCCCTCAGATGACCCTGATGCTGATTTCTCTCTGCAAGGAGAAGCTGACGAGGCGGCCCCATCTTTAATTTATCAGCACCTCCTCCAGAGGACCGGTCTCCTCTCAAACACCGGGCTTTCTGTGAAGCCTGCTGTGTAGCCTTATCTTGTGTGTGTGTGTGTGTGTGTGTGTGTGTGTGTGTGTGTGTGTGTGTGTGTGTGTGTGTGTGNGTGTGTGTGTGTGTGTGTGTGTGTGTGTGTGTGTGTGTGTGTGTGTGTGGAGAGAGACAACAAATAACCTTAGAAAACCCTTGCACCCAAATGCCTTATTTCTAATCAGCTCTGATGCAACCTAAAACTGAATAACATTTACTCTAAACATCCTTTTAAAAAAATCACAAAGTGCGACAAACCAATTACATCCTAAAAGTTCTATAAAAAAATCCCCTGCATCATTTAAGTGTGATTTTAACTTCCTATAATTCCACAGAAAAATCTTCAAGCCAGGCTGAATGTATTTATTAGCTCAGAGACATAAGGGGCATAATAAGACTGGGACTGAGAGCATGTGAGAAGCAGAGAGTGGTACAAGTCATTTCCATCTGTCTCTTCTAGTTACCTTGAAGGATGTAGGCAGCCAGCATGGCTGCATCCGAGGTTTTACACAGGAGACGCCCGTGGTAGAGGTCCCTCTTGAGTTGCAGGAAGACCAGATATCTACAAAAGATGAAAAGATGTCAAAATGTCTTTTCATGTGGTTCCATCTCTAAAGGCAAGCTCAGAGAGAACAAAAAAAAAAAACTGTGATCATCTCAAACTTTCACAGTCCCTTTGGGTGGTTTGAATGTTTCGTTTTGATTTAGTTGAAATTAAGTTTTTTTTTTTTTTGTTTTAGACTGAGGAGTGCAGAAAAGCTCCATAAGAGAAGCTGTTTTATTCTTAAACCCTCCAGCCTAGTTTCAGATTCAGACAATAAACTCCTGAAGCGTGAGCTTTAATGAGACATTTATTGTGAAGAAGATGGTAATGACAGCGGGGCTGACTATTATTTCTTTCCTATCATTACGCAGCTTAAGAGAACCCCACAGCGGAATAATAGAACATATAGGCATATTTATAGTACAGTACAAACACTTTAATGTGGATTTCTTTAGTTCTTTTTTTTCTCTTTAGTCTTTAAAGCTTTTAAAGTGATCTTGATTACCAGAAGTTCACGCTTTCTGGAGTTTTTTTTAATTTTCTTTTTGAGCTTAAGAGTACAGCWTTTATGTTATAATGATTTATAAAARTAGCCAGGWACTGGATTGAAGCTAAGGTAAAGAAAAAAGAAGAAAAATGTAAACGATAAAATACTGTAAAAAAAATTTAAAGCCTGGCTCTTCAGAAGCAAATGATAGAAAAATGAGGAATGACTCAAAATGTTTTGCACGGTATCCCTCTCCCTATGCTTTCACAGGTTATTAATACTTCAATTATTTTACAAAAAAAAGATGCTGAACTCAAAGCAGCATAGTGAACAGTCTCATTTCAAATGTGACCAAGAAATACGTAGTTATGTTAATGTTTGTTTTTACATTATTTAAGCAGTGAATATGAGCTAACACACACATACACACGTTTTTTCTTCTATCCTCATAAGGACTTTACACTGGCTTTTATTCATTTACCGGTCATTTCTACAGCCTAACCAGTCCCTACCCTAAATCTAACCACCCCAGTACATACCTGACCCTAACCCTAACTTAAACTCAAATCACATCTCAGTCCTAACACTAACCCCTGACTCACCAGTGGGTCCTCACAAGGCTGTGTGTACTGGGAAAATGGTTAAATATGTCCCTACCAGGTAACCAACACATGTACACACGTAAAGTTTTATTATCTTTATTTGGACTTGCACTGACATCCATTAATTTCTACAGCCTAACCCTGACCCCTTGGCCTGGTAAAAACCAGACCCTTGTCCTTCACTTTGCTTTGTACGAGGGTCTGGACTCGCTGCTATAGAGAAGYGATTCTTACTGGAGCCGTGGCCTCTGCTGAAGTTTAAAACGATTTGATCGGTTAGCCGCGACGTAAGAAGCTAACCGGAAATCGTGTGCGCTGTAAACAACCCTACTGAGAGGAGAAAAGTACCGAGCCGAACGAGACGACTGTAAATGAGAGCTGCTGCTTTGTCAGACAAATTTAATTTAATTTGGAAGCCTTATCAACACGGACTGGCTTCATTCACTTCCTCCACTGCCGTATGCTAAACTAGCAGTCACTGTGCAGAATATCAACGTCTTTCAAAACTCCGCCTTCTGCTTGCTGATTGGCCCAGGTAAAATAAACTACAAGCAGACACTGCGCAGAAAATCACGTTCTGTTCTCTGTTGGTTCGGCTGAAATGCTCCAGAAGAAATCCTTCTCTATGGGAGAAATCCCAGACGGAGCAGTGAAGGGAAACTAGAATTGAGCGGAACTGCGTAGGAAGGCAAGGGCCAGGTTACTGACCTCTAAACCTAATCATAACCCAGAAATAGCATTTTTCCTTGCATGGACCAGGCAAAATGTCCTCACAAGGGTGGCCCAAAGTCTAAATATGTCTACACAAGAATAGCTAAACATGTGCACGCACACATACAGAGCAGATCAATATGTCCTCCATCATTAATCTTCACTCACAGTGCCGAATAATTCAGTTCAGAAAATGCTTGTGTTTTTCCATCAGTAGAAGAAGCTGTCTGCTGTGAAACAGGCCTACTTATCTATATTTTTATGTTTGTTTAGCATCCAGTCCCCCCGCCACAGGRTAACTGAGTGTACAGTGCAGCCTGAACAAATCCTGCAGGCAGATGAATATTTATCCTCTCCCACCCTCAACGCTCTGACCTCTCCACTGTCATAATCATGTATCACTCTGTCCTCCTTCCTCCCACTCCTCCTTTGCCTTCACACTTTCAATCAGCGCTCCTTTCCCCGCCACCTCCCTTCATCTCCACTATCCACTCTTTCTCATTACATACACTCCACATGTGGCGAAGGCTGCATCTCATTACACCTCAAACACAGAGTGGGCTCCTCTCCTTCCAGTCAGTAAGAAAAGCCCGACACTCACCAGCTGGAGACTCCCAACATGATCTGAGGGAAAACAAATCAACTTGCTATTTTCACCGTTTTCTGTAAAGTAATTTAAAAATAAATATTTGTGACAGAACTCCATTAAAGCAGAGTCACTGTGTGGAAAATAATGTGTTAATTATCCTYYAAGAATTGTGCCCRGTGTTGCTTTTATTGCTCCATCTAYTATCTTAGTGAGGTACTAGGACAGGCTTCACTGTCCCACAGCTCTTATTAAAAAATGCATTCTGAGTAATGCTTATCAGAATGCTTCCGAGTCAAATTGTTTTAATTATGAAACAGCCATAAATAATATTTTAGATGTTTGCCTGTTTGCTCTGTCTGAATGTTTCCCACCCGTCTGTTCTGTGGTTAGAAATAAAAAAGCTGTTTTTTCAATGTTTTTCAAATTAGAAAATACTCTCTAATAAAGTGTCTTTGTTCATCTTGAAAACTGAAGTAGATGTACAGTAAATTATAGCTGTGGAAGGGGAGAATGGAATAAGAGGGCCTTTATCAACTTCACATACCGAGTTATTTCCTCCTTGAGAGACGCAGGATCCGGAGGGTAGAACTTGACTCTCAGACACATGGTGAACGGAGGCTGAGCTACAGGAGGATAAAAACAGAAAATATTAAGGAGACACTGTCATTTCTTAATAGCAGATCAAAAAAAAATCAAGAGAACAAAGGTGAAATCGTACTGTCGCCTGACTCGTACAAAATGACGTCAAGAGAAAAGAGTTAACGTTAGGCCTGTCACAACACATTTTGCTAGATGATATGTTGTCTCAGAAATTATTGTGATCAAGCAATTATATTGTTTGGAGACTGATATGGTCCACTAAAGCAGTGGTTCCCAAAGTTGGGGTCGGGACCCACAATGGGGTCCCAAAACATCAAGGTGGGGTCCTGAAAAGATTTTCTGAATTAATTATAGTAGAAAATAACAACTAACATTTTTGTTTTGCCTTTGTTGTTACAAAATAATAAGATTAGTGTACTAAAAATGGACAAAAATAAATGCCTGTTCACGGGGCTATCATGCCACCGAGGTTATGAGACCACGCGCCTGGCAAATATCTGATCCGAGAGTTCACTCCTCCTCATGCTACGGGGTAAAAAAGAGGGAGACGCAAGGAAAACAAAAAAAGCAGGCAAATGAAAATTATCAATCTAATTTTAATTTATTGTGCGATTAATTGATTGCTTATCGCGACAGGCCTAGTTCCCATTTATAACATTTAAAAGACTTGTTTCAAAACATCAGCAACCCATTGTCCTCCCAGCACACCTGGACCAGCCATTAGCAGGATGACCTGAAAAAAATCAACTCTATTTCGCCAAACTGAAATCACTCAAGGAGCTATCTACAACAGGTAAGATATTATTTGTTCATAGGCCTTCCATAGAACCCCACTTCAAAAGGATCGTAGCTCACTTTTTGTTTATTTTTTCATGAACTTAAATACCCTTTTACATAGGATGAGCTAAAATATATTTTTATCTCAATTTTCTGCTTGTCCACAGTCGGGTCTCAGAGGCAACAGGTCCAGGAGAGAAATCYGGACATCCTTCTCYCCAGAGACACTAAGCTCAGCCTGAGAACGCCTTGGGAGGCCTTAAGGCATTCCCAGGCCAGAGATGATATAAGCCCTCCAGTGAGTTCTGGGTGTTATGGGCCTCTTCCCAGTGGGACATGCCCAAAAAACCTCTAAAAAGGAGGCGTCCTGATTAGATGCCAGAACCTCCTCAACCGACTYGTTTCGATGCAGAGGAGCAACGGTTCTACTCCTCGCTCCTTGCCCTATCTCTGTTTGTTCTCATTTCTTTGTTCACCAGATTATTAAGAGATTAACACAGACACTTACATTTCAGTTGCTTCGCAATAGATTTTGTGAATTCCAACCAGTGCTGCATAGGAAAGAAACACACACAAATGCAAATACGTTAATTTTAACAAACCTCAGTAGAGAAAACCACACGTTGTATAATCACGCTGACACTTTCCCTCTCAGTTCCYATGATGTTTAGCTGTTACTACTGACAGTTTTCTGGAGAAACCTGTTCATTCCACACACCGTGTCAGAGCTGATTGTGTGGTGCGATATGTTAAAATCAAACATTGCCTCCTCACGGGGATTCCTTGAAATCGCTTCAGACAAAAGAAAGTTGGACTTTTTTTCCACTGAGCAGACAAGTCCATAGAGGTGCATTCCATTTTTTTCAGCTCTGACAAGAACCACAACATGATCCATGAACAGTTACTGCAGGAAACAAACAGAATGTTCTACTTTAGACAAGAATCTCATTAATGGAATTTATTATGGAAATAATACTTTTAGGTTTAAGCCAGTAATTCATGACATACTTTAATGACCTAGGTTTTCATGACATGCAGTTCATCAGTGATTACAGCCAGAACAAGATCTGCTAACAACAATCATTATTAGCTATAACTTGTGTTTATCTTTGTTTTCCCTTGACCCAGCATTTCCTTATGATGAAATCTTGCTTTATTAAGATGACATAATAGTGTTTGTTAAGCAGTAAATATGAGGCCTCAACTGCCTCAGCAAAGGAGAAACAGGAGCAGAGAGCAGGGGGACAGATGGCTTTATGTTGTTCTCTGTGTTCCTGTTGTTGCAATAAAACTCAGCTCATCATTTCCACGGAGTACCTTCATTCTTGGACCATGTATTTCTGTCTTTGTTAAATACATATTCCCATAACAGACTTCGTCACATTTCATTTAACTTTACCTAAATTTTTATACAAACCCAAAGCAGTGCAAGCAGTTAAATTATTTATAGTTTGTATTTATAAATTTCTGCTTCTTCTGTGCCTTTGACAATTCAATATTTCAGTAAAGGACTGGCTAAACGTGTATGTAAAAACATCATCTAAAAATGTGTTACAGCTGTCAAATAATTATCAGAAACAATATGAATACTTCAGCTCTTTAAAAATGGAGTTATGTGTAAAAGTTTTGGGTAATAATACATGAAACGTGAAAATTATCAGCCAGATACAACAAGTACGTAGCTCTTTCAACAGCCTTAGTTTAAGGAAAAAGAGTTGAATTTAAATAAAGGCTTGTCTGAGTGGTGCCAAAATTAAAATCATATAAGTGAATGTAAATTTTATTTTATAAACCTTTACACAGTCATCAATTTCACATTAAATGTTTTTCGCCAGTAATTATTTGCCGGTGCAAACAGTAGCAACTAGCAGTAGCCCTTTAAACAGGAACATTATAATTACCTCCGGCAAGGGAGGAGGTAATGTTTTCGGTTGCGTCTGTCTGTCTGTCTGTCTGTCTGTCTGTGGACAAAATTACTTAAAAACTTGTAGAGGGATTGTCATGAATTTTTTAATACATGTGGGTATTGGCCAAAGGAACACACCATTAAATTTTGGTGAAGTTCCGGATCACGATGCGGATACAGGAATTGTTCTTTTAATTTGAGCAAATCAGCCAGGCTACGCAGTGTCATTACGTCAGACACATGCCTGTAGGAAACAGGAAGTACAAGTCGCATCGCTGGGACTACACCTCCCAGGATGTCTACTATCGGGAAAGTTGTGATTATTCTGTTATCCACTAGTATTGGTGATGTTACTGCTGTCTGGAGACGTAGAAAAAGAAATGCAATTCTCTTCACATTACGGGAATAACAGGACACCGACAGCGGGGGAGAGTCCTGCTGCAGTCCAGCCGAAGCTGGTACCGGTGTTACACCGGACTGGTACCGGCCAGCAGGAACAGCTGATCAACCATGTGAGGTACCCTCCATATAAGAACTTTATTGTGTGATTGGTCAGAAGTTTGTGGGAGTGTTTGTTTGTACTGAATGTGCTCAGACGCTGTATTTTGCTTCAACCATTCACTTCAAAAAAAAAAAAAAAAAAGGCGACTCGCTTCCAGAGCCGACTGTACCAGGAAGCAGCAGTTTATAAAGAGAGTCAAACTGTTAAAAACTYATAAAAGGGGATAAAACAGACRCTTTMCACGGTGGAATCTGACTGATGAAAACTTAGGAGCTTAAWYCMRGRMCMRKTT